ACCTGCACATTGAAAAGCAGAAGCTGGGAGAGCTCTCCAACAGATGCTTGGGGAGTCTAAGTGCTATTCTAACACCTGCACATTGAAAAGCAGAAGCTGGGAGAGCTCTCCAACAGATGCTTGGGGAGTTTGGCAGGGCCAAGAGATGCATGCCAGGCTGAAATAAACAGGATTCTTGTTGCACCTTAAAAACTAGGGAGTATTTCATCTAGCATAAGCTTTTGTATGTTAGATCCCACTTCATCAGATGCAAGTAGTAGATCCTCAAGAGGCAGATGTTTATATGTGACGTTGTGAAGAAAATAATGTATAAACAGCAGGGTCAAATGACAACTCGTGACACTCGGGAAGTACGAGGGGAAATAGAATTGCATAAAATGCACATGTAATGAGGGGAAAGTACAGACAGCATCTGCCAGCAGGTGCTCACCAATAACTATGGGACCCCTAATAGAGACCCAAACCTTGTGAATAAACCCAGATGCCAACTCTGTTTCCATATCCAATCAAGCAATATAATTACTGGGCCTGACAGCAATACCATTCTGGGCTCTATACATGATCATCCCATCTATGATCTATGCCATTATTTGTCAGCAGAGCCCTTCTGCTCTTGACATTGGTCAAACGTAAAAGAATAAATTGGCATGCATTTGACATTCAGAATAGTAACAATAGCAAGAAGAACAAATCAGTCAATCCTAAAAGAAATCAACCCTGACTGTTCCCTGGAAGGCCAGATAATGAAACTGATGCTCAAATACTTTGGCCACCAAATGAGAAGGGAGCACTCACTGGAGAAGACCCTGATGCTGGGAAAGATTGAAGGTCAAAGAAGACGGGGACGGCAAAGGATGAGATGGTTAGACAGTGTCATAGATGCAACGAACATGAAATTGAGCAAACTTCAGAGGACGACGGAAGACAGGAGGGCCTGGCGTGATCTGGTCCATGGGGTCGCGAAGAGGCGGACTCGATTGTGCGACTGAACAACAACAACATAGTAACATTCAGAAACTGGTAGAGGAACATTTCAGTCTCCCAGGGACACACTGATCTGAAAGTCACTAGTCTGCAGCAAAAGAACTTCAAAGGGTGGGACTTCCAGTGTGAAATTGCTGAATTCATCAAGAAGCTTGACGCTTTCTCTCAAAGACTTAACAAGGACTTGGGATTCCTCAGTCATCACAGATGTTAACCAACTTAGCACAACTAGTGAAACAGGATTGTCATCAGTTATTGCTGTCTCTGTACTTTTCCGCTCTCTCGCTCTCTCTTGCATTTTACATAATTACATCTCACCAGGTGCTTCCTATTGTGCGGCCTCATTTGAAATACCGTGTTCTTAGTTCTGGTCACCATATCTCAAAAAGGACATTGCAGAGCTGGGAAAAGTACAGAAGAGGGCAATCAAAATGATTAAGGGGTTGGAGCACCTTCCCCATGAGGAAAGACTGAAGAGTCTGGGACTTTACAGTTTAGAAATAAGGCAACTAAGGGGGGGCATGATAGAGGTTTATAAAATTATGGATGGGGTGGAGAGAGTTAACAAAGAGACATTTTTCTGTTCCAAAGTACTAGAACTCAAGGGCCTTCAATGAAGTTAGTGAGCTGTAGATTCAAGATGGACAAAAGGAAATACTTCTTTACACAGTGAGTGATTAAAATGTGGAATTCACTGCCATGGGGTGTAGTGATGGCCACAGGTACAGATGGCTTTAAAAGGGGATTAGACAGATTCATGGAGGATAGGTCTATCGATAGGTAATGGTCATGGTGACTAAAGGGAACCTCTATGTTCAGAGGCAGTAAACCTCTGAATACCAGTGTCAGGAGTCAACATCATTCTTGGCCCCTATGCCCTGCTGCTGGCCCTCCAGACTGTGTGAGACAGGATGCTGGACTAGATGGTTTCATCCAGCAGGGCTCTTCTTGTGGCCTTTTGAACTGTTTACAAAGAGTTTCCCCCCCAATAACCTTATATGTAAATGTTTGCCTCATGAGGACCCACAACATGCATCTGACAAAGTTAGCTTTTAAACTAAAAAAATGAATCTTTAATCTGCCACAAGACAGATTATTCTTGTATTCTGGTGCAGCAAACAAATATGGCTTCTCTCCTGGAAAGGCATGTGTTGGTGAGGTGCTGCCATCCTCTCATCTTCCCACCCCTTTCCCTGCCTCCCCTTTGCCACTCCTCAGAGGCCAAAAGAAGGAAAAGAGGAAATTTGAGCTTTGCCTCTCATTCCTTTCAGATGCAGGCTCAATACTTCAAGTGTGCTATTTGCGGTGCATTCCTTTACATGTTTACTCAGAGGTAAGTCCTGCTGTATTCCATGGGGCCTACTCCAGGGGAAATGAGCAGTTGCAGTCTTCCTATTTTCATTCTCTCACACTAGTTTATGCCCCTGGGAGACATCCATTCTGCATAAGGACTGGGCTGGTGCCAGTATTGGAACTGAAATGGCATTCTGTCTGTGTCCTCCTGCCGCTGTCTCTGTGGAGCAGCAGAGGCTGAATACTTGTGGCGCCCAGAGCACATTAGGAGGCACAAGAATGCTGGCATCACACACACAAACACACATACACACACTCCTTTGCTTTATAGCTGCTTTTAAGTTCTTCCTACTTTTCCCATTTGTCTGAGGATAGGATGATTCCCTTATATGCTGCCCTGCCTTCTTTGGAGGAAGGATGGGATGTCGGTGTGAGAAATGGAATGGGGGAAACCATGTGTTGCCCTAGAGATGGTCATAGACACGATCATCTGTGAGGGGGGGAGCTGCAATTCTCCTTGTAAATTGGTCTTTTAAATCTCCACACCTGGAAATGTACATGCTTGTAATGACGTCTCAGGCTGATTTCCTCCCGTGGGATGTCAGGCCATAGCACAGTTAAATTATTTTTCCCCCCAGTTCTTTATTGTTGCATTCTCCCCACATCCTTGAATCATAAGATGTTTCATGAACAGCATTTCCAGGGTTGGTTCCCTTTGGAAGAGAGAGCACTGGAGACTTAGAGTGTTTTTGCAATACTTGCTTTATTTATAAATATCCAAGGAGCACACAAGTGGAAGCAAAGAGACACTCCTACAGGGTGTTAGGACCACTACCACACGTCACATTCAGAGAGAGAGATCAGTCCCAGTGGGGCAACATACAGCAGTTTGACTGCTTCTCTCCTTCCAAACTCAGCTTTTTCTTCACGCAAACATTATACTTCTGCCTCCTCCCTTAGATGGTATTTGAACAGAGCTTTGGGAAACTACCAACTAAAAAGGAATCTTGCCCCCCTTGAGGCAATATCCACAGTTGTTGCGGAGATTTGATTGTCACAGGTTCCGTCCCACAAACCCACAGCAACCACTGATTTTGCATGGAGACTATATAGCACTTTCCTAACTGCCAGACAAGTTAGGGTCGAACTATTTACAGGTTGTAACAGAAACAGTCAGTAACCTAGAGTGTTTGTGTTGTATAATAAGTTGTTTTGCATGTTGGGAAATGTTGGAATCAGTAAAGGATCCGCAGAACACATCAACGGCACTTCTGGACTCTCATATTCCCTGGAGTCAAGATTTCTCCACTTCCTTCCTTGCTACTTGTTCAGTGCAAACAAATATATTTGTGAATAAAACAAAGGATAATAGTGGCCTGATTACTGCAAGAAAAAGAGAGTGCAGTGGCAACATCAGGAGCAACAGCACTTATTGTGGCATGAACTTTCAAAGCCAAGAGCCCACGTAGGGTTGCCAGCCTCCAGGTGGGGCCTGGAGATCTTCTCCTGCATTTATAACTGATCTCCAGCTGACAGAGATCAGCTCCCCTGGAGAAAATGGGTGCTTTGAAGGGGAGACTCTATGGCACTGTACCATGCTGAGGCCCCTCCCCTCTCCAAACCCCACCCTCTCCAGGATCCACCCCCAAAGTCTCCAGGTATTTTCCAACCCAGACCTGGCAATCCTACATCATCAGATCCATGAAGTAGATAACAAATATGTTAAATATTATAGAGAAACCAGTTGGAAAAGGAAATACTCTAATGCAAAGTTGGGAGAGTGACAGAGGGACCTATTGAGACAGTGGAGATACCACGCAATCGTACATCAGTCTACCAACTGAAGTTAACAAAACCCAACCCATCTCCAAGCCTGTAATCAGGTTTTGGGTAGATGGGGAGTTCTTACCTTTGGCCACCAGATAGAGCTATTGCAGTGTTTTTGACACATCAGCTCCCAGTTTATCTGCCTCTGCTGTAAATCAGAGGTATTGCTGAGGCCTTGGAGGAGTATCCACTGTTCACACACTCACACACGCATACAGACGCTTTCTGTGTTGTGCTACTTTTAACAGATGGTCGAAGTACATTTAAAGGTACAGCATACGTTCTGCAATGGCAAATTTAAAAATAAATCCCCCAAACGAGAAATCTTTGCTATGGCTCTTGATCAGCCACATCCCTCAATCCCACCGCTTTCATCAGGACTCGAGAAGGAGACACACACACACACCTTGGTTTTTAGTCCCCTCCCAGTAGACACGGGACTCGAGGAGGAGACACACACACACACCCAAGCTTGGTTTTTAGTCCCCTCCCAGTAGACACAGTCCCCTGAGAAGGGCAGCCATCTTAGACAAAGTTCTTGCTCCTTAATTCTGCAGACAAGCACACACATACCACCTCTGCTGAAGGAGTCTGCCCATTCCCCAGCTTACTTAGGGGAGCATTTGTTTGTCCTGCAGTCACAGAGATTTATAACAGTGTTTACCCTACCTCCAGCATGCCAGCCAGAGAGTCTCCTTCAAGTGTGAGATGCCACAATTGTTCAGCAAAATGGCAACACATAGGAGGTAAACATGACAGCAGTGTGCTCAATATTTAGTGCTTCCTCAGCGATATGGGAAAGGGCCCAGTCACAACTGGTAGGCTTGTAGAGTCAGGTGGGCCCTACTATCTAAGGAGGGCAGCTTCACTTCTGGAGAAAAGGGGCTGTTCCAGACCTCTGCTCCTTGTCCTCCTCTTCTTCATCCTCTTCCCTGTCACTGCCTGATTCCTCAGAGTCCTCATAGAAGCTAATGGTCGCCTGGACTGGGAAGTTCTCCAGCAGCTTCTCACCCTCTGCGTACAAATAGTCAAAGGATCTTGATTTGGGCCAAAAGAGCCTGTGGGGAGAAGAGAAGAGAACTAAGATGTGCAACCTCTTTCGATTCCTGTTGGGAAGGAAAGCCCAGTGAGGAAGCCATGTTGGGAGTGATGGGCCTAGGGTTACCAACCTGGAGTTCTCTTGGACTTACAACTGATCTCAAGACTAAAGAGATCAGTTCCCATGAAGACAATGGCAGCTTTGGAGGAGAGATTCTACGTCATCTTATCCCCACTCAACTTTCTTCCCAACCCAAATTCTGCCCTCCCCAGGCACGCTCCTCAAATCTCCAGGAATCTCCCAAGCTGCAGTTTGGTAACTCTAGTCTGGGAGCAGAAAGAGAACAGGAGGAGCATTGAATGGAGATGTGATGGGAGCACAGGCCTAAAACAGGGAAGGGAGCAGTCCTAAAGGTGCATTTCCTGACGTTAAATGATGGGGACAGGACAAATGAGGGAGCTGATTTGTTGAAGGGGTTTTGCAGTTAGCTGTGCACGCACCTGACAGGATGTCGGAACGATGTAAGCTGCTCCTTGCTTATCTTGTAACTTTCACTGTAGGCCTGGAGGACACAAGTAAGACACATTAGACCACAACCAGTGTTTCTATGCTGTGGCAGGACAGCCTGTCCATCACCACTGTGGGAAAAGAACATGGCCTTAGGGGCAGAGGTACCTGACCAACGCTCCCTCTAAGCTGTGGAGTCTTGTGAGCAGAAATTCTACTTAGTGAGCTGCTGGCATTACAGTTGTGAGCAAGTGATTTGGCGACTGCATAAATAGGTTTGCGCTGGAGCCATCCTTCCTGAGCTAAGGCAAAGATGTGTGAGCCGGAGGCTAAACAACTGTGAGCTAGCTCACACTAACCAGGCAACAGTGCAAGAGGTTGCGTTCTCAAGTGTGTGCAGTCTGTGCAGCCACTTGAAATGGAAAATGAACTGTCCCTCTAGCCAATTTGAAGGCTATCCTTTTAACAGGTGGGAAGACAGCAGTCTCTGTAAGCAAGGGGTAGGGAACGGGTTGAGCAGCTCTAGTGAGCAAGGCCTCTTCCATGTGAACAGGGCATGTGAATGTGTGAGTTATGAGGTCCAGTTCAGAGGCACATTATCAGCCTTCGGTCTGAAGCATTTGCATGTCTTTATGGTTACGTCACCTCTCTGCTAAAATTGTTAAGAAATTCAGTGCATGTTGGCCCGTGGCAGGAGATCTCTGGAATGGCAGAGAGTTCTCACATAAACCCCAATACGTTTCTTTATAAGACAGGAACAGTATATACACAGTAAGAAAATACGTAATCTCGGTCTTAATGAACCCACTGAATGGAACGGGCAAGCAGGAAGCAAAATGCCTTCAAAGGTCAATAGAGGATGGCCCTAATGTTGGCCATCCCGTTTTCAGGCTCCTCTCTCCCTCTCCCTGCTTGCTGGCAATTTTTTTTCTCACAGCTGTTGTTGCTGTGGTTTTATGTGTACTGCGGTTTCTTAACATTGCCAACTAAGAGAAACTGCCCCAGAGATAAGCAGAACGTGTTAGGGCAAAAAAAAGCACTTTGAACATGGTTGAACTGCTCTGCAAACTCAACAACCTTTGTTTTTTCTTTCGAAAGCCATTCTTGATTATTTATTTATTTATTTGCTTCTTTCCTGTCTGTCCCTCAAAACATTTCTCTCTTACTTTTAAACTTGGGGTGATGATGACAGAACTGCATTGGAAATAGTCCTTTGAAGGCTTCCAGCCTTCATATCTGAATGTTAATTTCTGAGGAGAGGGCCTAAAAAGGTGAAATTTCCACCTAAGCAGCAGCAGCAGGAAGGAAGGAAGGTGCAAGGACAGACTGGCTCTCAGAGCTGGGCTCTGGCCAAAGCCCCTTGCAATAAATCCTACTAACTCCCTGAAGAATGCTGGCCTCACCAAGGAACAGTCTGCCTTTTCACTCCAAAAGCCTGCCATGGTAACAAGCATGCTTTGGGTTCTCCTCAAGACCCAGGAGAGGGGCTGAGGGGAAAACAAACTTGTTCTAGTCATGGTAATCCAAACCCTGAGCCTCCTCCTGCTTAACTGCAACCCTCACTGTGCCCAGCAGGAACATGGAATATTTCCCTAGCGATGCTGCCACCCTGCCCTTGCATGCCACGGTGGCCCCATCACTTCCTTTCTTTGCTTGCCCCATGGGATGTCAACCCCATCATTCATGATCCTTCAGCTTGGAGACCCCTTTCAGGGAGCCACTAGGGTTGCCAACCTCCAGGTGGTGACTGGAGATCTCCTGGGATTACCACTGATCCCCAGGCTACAGAGATCAGTTCACCTGGAGAAAATGGCCACTTTGGAAGGTGGGCACTATGGCATTACACCCCGCTGAAGTCCCTCCCCAACCCCACCCTCCTCCAGCTCCATATCCAAAATCTCTAGGAATTTCCAACCTGGAGGTGGCAACCTTAGGAGCAGCACTTACTGGGCCCTCCTGCTTCCTGGCTTCTTGGGTGGCCTTCTGTGGGTTGGGCAGCCATGGCCTCCATAGTGCAAAGGGCCTGCAGCAAACAGGAAAGCAGACACAGAGAGTCAGACAAAATGATCCAGGGGCAGCATTTACATCTGCCAGGCCCCCAACTCGCACAAAGGGACATTCGTAGAAACAGGTAGAGGTTGAGGGTAGCAGCCCCTTCACAGACTTGGGGAGCTCAGGTGCAGTCTAGCTAAGCCCCCATGCACCCACCAGTTCAGAAAGTCACCATGGCAGACATCTAGCTGGGAAACTGAACCCAGATGATGCTAGCAGTGCACAGGGATATCACCGGTGTTCAGGTCCCACGTGTGCTCTGATCATAATGATCACTGCTAGAACCCAAACTTGCAGCCACCAGAATGCCTTGCAGAGGGCTGCCTTGCCTTCACGGGCCCCAGGAGGAAAGCAGCTCCCCGCACAACCGCTTCTTAACTGTGGTTGGTTCTCAACCTACAAGTGGAGCCTGGAGTTCTCCCAGAATTACAGCTCATCTCCAGACTACAGTGATCAGTTGTCTTGGAGAAAATGGCCGCTTCAGAGGGCAAAGTTTATGGTATACCATAGATCCCAATTGAAACTGTTCTCCAAATTCCCCCTTCCAAGGCACTGCCCCCAAATCTCCAAGAATTTCCCAAGCCAGAGTTGGCACCCCAAGGTCACAGTTACCCAATGCATATGTACATGCACACACAGCCTCTCCCCACTGCCTCTGCTCAGGGCAACAAAACGTTTTGGGCTTGGTTTGACCCCTTCTCTCCCAGGCTACATCCCCGTGAGGTTTTGAATGAGCCAAAGACAGGAGCCCCTTACCTTCTTCCTTGTCTTGGATCCTGGCCATGGTTCTTGGATTCAAAGAGCTGAGGGGTCCTCCTAACAGAACCAGGGAGTGCCAGGCAGTTCAAGGAACCTTCCATAGCTGAGCCCCTTGGTGCCCTCCTCTGACTCCTTTGCTCTTGCCTCAGTGACCTTTATAGGCCTTCCATGAGCACTCCGCCTTGGGCAGGGGGAGGGGAGCAGCCCAGCCTGTGAAATGTGTCCCAGTTGAATAAACAGTGGGTCAGTATGGGGCTGAGAGAACTTTGTCAGCTCCAGTGACAAAGACAAACACTGGAGAGAAAAGGGAGACACCATTTGTGAGAAATGCCCCAGGGGGTAAGGATGGGAAGAGGAGGAGGGACCTTTCATTTGAGTTAAGCAGGGACCCATTATTGCCCTGAATGTAAAACTGAGAGAGAAGGAGGCAAGGTCAGGTCAAGCCAACACAGAACAATTAACTAGGACATTGGCAGTCCAAAACTAGGGTGTCATTTCCCCTCTGAAGAATGGGAAAGCTTTAAAATATTGTATGCAGAGTCCATTCTCAGCATATATTACTTATGCCCAGCTTGTTGGTCTTCCAGGACAACTGGTTGGCTCCTGTGTGACAAAGGCTGCTGAACTAGATTGGCCATCTTCTGATCCAGCTGGGCTCTTCTGTTCTTATTGATTTATTTAGATATTTATACCACATTTTTCTCCCCAACGGGGACTCAAAGGTGAGCTTCCAGGGCAGAGTCAGGATTTGAATTTGGGTCTCCCAGGTCCTGCTCCAGCCAACTAGCCAGTGCCAAGAGAAGAATTTCTCCTTAATTACTTAAGCAACAAGGAAGCACCTCCTCCTTTTATTATTTAATTTATTTACTGTATCTATAAAAGGTAAAGGTTCCCTTGCTTGAAAGCCAGTCAAATTCGACTCTAGGGTTGCGGTGCTCATCTCCGTGTCAAAGCCGAAGAGCCAGCGCTGTCCGAAGACGTTTCCGTGGTCATGTGGCTGGCATAACTAAACACCAAGGCGCACAGAACGCTGTTACCTTCCCACCGAAGTGGTACCTATTTATATACTTGCAATTTCTTGCTTTCGAACTGCTAGGTTGGCAGGAGCTGGAACTAGAGATGGGAGCTCACTCCATCATGCGGCACACTCGGGTCTCGAACTGCTGAACTACCGACCTTCCACAGCCTGCAATTCAGCGTCTTAACCACTTGAGCCACCGCAGCTCCAATGAATCTATATCCTACACTAAAACATACCTGGCTTACGACACGATTTAATACCATAAAGCAATAATCAAGGAAGAAACCAACCCAACCAGTGAGATAACATTGGCAGGCAAGGATAAATATTGCAAGGACACCCAGATGTGGAAACCCGAGGAGTACAATCAGTGAACATGAAACCAGAGTTTAAAACAAGCCAGGGACAGGGTGCTGAATGTTTAATCACTTGGCCCCTCTTGGGATGGGATTGTGAGGTGAAAAGAAACAGTCAGCTGGCATTTGTGAACCCTCTAAGCCTTTCAGTCCCCAAATATAAACTTTCACCCAAAAGTCACCAATGTTCCCTCTAAGCTGTGGAGTCTAGTGAGCAAAAATTCTGCTTTGTGAGCTACTGGTGTTAAAAATGTGAGCGAGCAATTTTGATGCTGCATAAATTAGGTTGCTCTGGAGCCATCCTTCCTGAGCTAAGACAAAAATGTATGAGCCGGAGGCTAAAAAATTGTGAGCTAGCTCACACTAACTCAGCTTAGAGGGAACATTGACAGTCATGTAGGAGCTCATTTCTTGCAGTGGTTTCCTTGGTGTGTCATATTGGACACAGCGAGTTTGGCTGAGTCTCTGCCACAGCACCCCCAAAGGCAAGTCCATTTAGACTGTGAAAGGAGCCTCAGTGTGATAGGTGCTGTGTGCCGTGAAAGGACAGATGTGGGATTCAGCAGTGCATCTGCAGTGCCAACGCAAACCATGCCAGAATGGCTTAAATGAACCAGAACGATGTGCAGACTGCAGACTGCACCAGCTGTTCTAGGGCCATTCCTTTCCAGTTGGAGCTGGGTTATCTGAGGACTGCCAGAGGGAAAGACTTCTTTACCTCTGTTGCTCCCAGGATTTCCATTGCTGCTACTGAGAAGGAGAAAGGCACCGTCAGGTGTATGTGCACTTTTCCCTTCATCCCTTCTTCCCCCCCCCCTTTGGATATCATTGCAATTGACACAAGATTGAACTGGAGGGCCAGTCTGAGCTGGCAGAGGAGTAGACAGCCAGGTCCTTGATGTGAGAGAGGGCCTCCCTCCCATTTTGAAAATTAGTAGGGCTCAGGCAGCCAGTCTGAGATGCTGTTTGCGCTTCTCTCTGCTTGTTTCTTCTTGTTAGCGGTTAAGTGCCAGGGAACTGGTCCTGGTATGAGGAGGCATGGAAGAATATTGTGGCTGTTGGGTGGGGCATTGTTTGGTTTTGAATGTTTTCGTTGTGCTGTTCATTTTGGACAGGAGTTATAGACTGGGAAGACTTATAGGCTGGCTAGTCCAATGCCCTGCTCACTATAAGAAATCCAAAACTAATCCCTTTGTTCAAATACCTCTTGGGAGGGAGAGTCTTCCCTCCTGCCACTGGTTCCCTTGTTGAACTGCTCTTAGCATTAGGGCATTTCTCTTGACATTTAACTAGAACCTACCATCCTGTAAGTTAAGCACATGAGATCTAGTCTTGCCCTCTGGTGGAAGAGCAGAGAAAAAAATCTTTGCCCGCTTCAAATATTTGAAGTGCAAAATCATGTCTCCCTCTTAATCCATGCTAAGCATACACACTTCCTTCAGTCTTTCCTTGTAGGACTTGTTTTCTTTGTTGCCTTTCACCAAACCTGGTCTATATATTTATTAAAGAGAAGAGAGAAGAAGAAGAAGAGATTGGATTTATACCCCGCCCTTCACAACCCAAAGGTGTCTCAGAGCGGCTTACAAACTCCTTTCCCTCCCCCTCCCCACAACAGACACCCTGTGAGGTAGGCGAGGCTGAGAGAACTCTGACACAAACTGCTCTTTCAGGAACAGCTGTGCCAGAGCTTGTGACTGACCCAAGGTCACATCAGCCGGTGCCAGTGGAGGAGTGGGGAATCCAACCCAGTTCTCCCAGATTAGAGTCCACACACTTAACCACTACACCAAATTGGCAGCACCCAGAAATATAGTGCTCCAAATGAGGTGTGGCTTGCACAGAGCAGGGTGGAAGAATTATTTCTGGTGCCCTGGATACTGCAGCTTCAATTGGAAACCTTGTTGGCATTTGCACCCCTGATCATCCCTTGCAGAGGAGATCCTACACTGCACGGTGCTTTCCTCTGGTGCTCGGTGCTTTTCCAATCATTGAAACATGTTTGTCTTGCATCAGCAGAAACCCCAAAGAGCAGGAGGAACACATTCCACGGGAGAGGACCACTCCTACAACGCAGGAGCACAAGAAGTAGCAAGATTTAGGAACCAAGTCTGAAGTCACACTAGCCTGTTCTGCACCTGCACCAAACTGCCCACTCCCTTTCAGTTTGTCACTGACCAAAAATCCTGAGATTCTTTACACACGTACTGCTGCTAAGCCAAATAGCCCTCATGCTGTAACTATGCATTTGATTTCTTTTGCATGTGGAACTTCAGCTTTGTCCCCACTGAATTTCACTGTGTTAGTGAAATTAACATCTTCCCAACCTATCAAGGTCATTTTGAATTTTATTTCTGTCTTCTAAGGTGCTTGCTAGCCCGCCCAGTTTTGGGTCACCTGCAGATTTGATAAGGACTCCCCACTTCTATCCGAGTCATTTATTAAAATGTTGAATACATGCTCAGGATAGAAACCTGAAACACCCCACTTGAGACCTGCCTCTAGATATGGCAGTGGGAGACAGATGGTCCAGGGAAGGGAAAGGCAGGCAGATAATTCTTGTTTGTCCCACTTTCCCTTCCATCTCTCACTCAAGGACACCTTGGTTGTAATTCCCACAGTACACCAGATCTGATAGCACTGTTACAGAATGCTAGGTTGGTCCATGGGAAAAGATCTTCCATGGGAAAACACCTTTATCCTGGCTGAGCAGGTTGACTTGCTCACTGAAACTAGCTGGATCAATCTGATTAATGTGGGTTAGTCAACTCCACCTATGATTGATGAGATATTTGGCATCACACCAGCTTGGACTTGGTGGGCATGAAGGGGAAATGACTGTAATCTACTCAAAGTCCACTACCCTTTCCAGATTTTTTTGCCAGGCAGTTTCAACTTCAGATGTTTGGCATGCAGGACAGAATAAAGGTTCTATTGGTCTCCATAAGGGTCTTTCTACCAGAGCTATGGAAGCTGCTCTTTTATTTGGTATTGACAACTGCAAGATATTTAATCTTCAGAGAGTTCAACATTCATGCCAAGAATGCCTTATTTTGTGTGACTTAAGACTTCAAGGTTGCTACAGCAACTGTGAAGCTGTCCCCAAATATTTTTGGTCCAACACAGATAGTGGGACATAAAGTTTATTTGGTTTCCCATGCTGTGCAAATAAATGACGATTTCGGAATAACGGGAATTTCAACAACATCTTTGTCACAGACAGACCATTACCTGGTGAGCTTTAGACTCACAGGAGCATAGCCAAACACAATCAAGTGCACTTTTTAAAAAACATATTCTATAGGAGTGATTGGCAGCAAAGCTCAGTTGCTTGCCTGGTACCATTGCACCTGCATAAAGTCACCCAGCAGAGCTATTATAGATAGTAGGGGGTCTTCTTCACTTTTATCCTTCCCCCAGAAAGAATCCTCTGAAGCATGCTGTGACTTGCCTGCAAGTAATGTTGCTGATATAACTGAAGCAGGCACCCAACCAATAGATCGCTTCTTAAGAAACCCTGTCTTAACAACAATCAGCTGGTCACTAGTATCCTTTCTTTCTTTTCTTTCTTTTTTTTTGCTGAACTGGACAGTGGCTGTATACCTCTTGGTTCCATTAGATGAAAATTATTATTTAGAACCACTGAAGTGT